GCCTGCTCCCCCCTCGGCGCGGCGCTGGGCCGTGAGGCGGGGAGCGGGACGCCCTCCGTGAAAGCCCCTCGGCACAGCCCGAGATACCGCGCGCAGACCGCAGCTCCGACCCTGTTCACCCACTCCCCCCTGCAGCATCTCCCGCCCACCGGCAGCACCTTTAATTTAAACAGAAATTAATCTCCGGCCCAAATACGCCAGTTTTTCGCTCACCTGCGGCGCCCGTCGGCAGGACCCGGAGGAGGTGCCGGCTGTCTGGAAAACAAGGGAAGAGAAAACGGGGGATTTTCTGCAGGCTTGATGTAACCCGCACCGGGTTGTTGCATCAAAGACTAGAAAAGAACCCCGAGACAAAAATAATCTTTTAAGAGCGTGCGGCTAAGATTAGTGCGGCGTGTCAAGATGTTGCTGAGCACAACAAAATGAGTCCTCCTGCTTGCACCGACACACAGAAATACTACTTTTTTGGCTCCTTGTGTACTGCAACCCTGGGTTTCAAAATTTTATGCCAGTGTGCTATTTTTGAAGTGATGTTTAGAGATAGGCTCCAACCATACAATTTTGGCTTTGAATTCAAGCTTCCCTCAGTTCTGGACGTTTGGCTCGAGGGTTTAGATGTGGCTCGTTACAAAGACAGAAAATTGGCATGAAGTTCTGAATTTGAACTGTAAATGTTTAGTAAGTTCAAACCTCCTATATTGGTTGACCTCATGCCTCTGAAAAATCTGATCAAATAGGAGAATATAAAAGCAAAAAATACTAAATAAGACTTTTTTCCCCCACATGCTTTTATTAATATGACAGTTTATAGGAGAAATACTGCTCCTACCCCCCATGTAGGAAACGGAGTGCCTGACACAAGCCAGTCTCTACCCAGGCAGAAGCACCCATGTGCAAGCCTGCACATGCAGACACAGCTTTGTGCTGCCAGGTTTGATATTTGTGAGCTTAGTCTGTCTCTTATTTTTTTTCTCAACGGACAGCAAACTGAGTAAAGAATGTGTCAAACCCCTATCCCAGGCAGGGACTCCGAGAACAACATAGCTCATTCCTAGTATTTCTATATAAAATGCATTTGTAGCCACATCCATAAAGTCGTCTCTCAACAATATGCAGTGGGGTGAGAGATCAAGAACCCAGAACCTCATTATTTTTTTGCAGCAAGCTGGTCTGCATTCTGCAGTGAGCCTTTAAATTATGTAGTGTGCTTGTAGAATTTTTTCTAAATCATCTGACAATTTTTGGTATACTTTAATCCTGGAAATGTTTTTCAAATAAATAGCAATAATTAAGTCCATCTTCTGGCTTGTGTTAGTAATTTTTGATATTCAGACTGTGCTCTCTGACCTTGCTCATTTTTCATGTAGGCATAATTTTTAGGCTTCCGCGTTAACATCCAAGATTAATGGGTCTGTTCCTACTTCTAAGAGTATTGTTTCAGCTGCATGTATACTAAGGCAAAATCACTGCATTGTTGTATGACTTGTTCACCTCTCAGAGTTTAGGTTCATAACCATTAACATACTCTCGACTATTTCTAAGGGAAACTTAAATTTTACAGAAATGTAATTCTTAAACATTCTGTGTCAGTCTTCATACTTTTCGGCTCATGTCATAGGTAAAACTTGGTGTAGACATCTTTGATTTGCTGTTAGTTTATAGCCCGACCTGTTTGTTTCCCTCCACCTTTTCTGTCCTTCTAGGACTTATCTGCATTTAATTACATATTGTGTCAATGTCAACAAATTGCAGTCAGGGACATGGATCTCACCATGCAAAGCCTGATAAAAAAACCACTAAACAGTTTCTGCCCAATCCTACCATCACAGCTAACACAGTGCTTATCTCTGTCCTGTCTTTCCTGTTCTTACATCTCCCCCTCCTTCCCATCCTATTCCATCAAGCCTCTTCTGCTTTCTCTCCCTGACCTACCTGCTGCTCACTCTCTCTTGGCTGTGGCACACTTTCTTCCCCACCAGCACGTTTAATTGCAATGTTCCATTTCATTATTAGCTTGTCACCACCTTTATCAAGTTACCATTCCTAACTTACATCTAGCCGCAAAGCTTTCCTGCATAGCTTGTCATCCATTTTCCACATTAAGGCTTGTCTAAAGCTACGTGTGAAAGGGTCTGTGAAAAATGACTATGGTGCTGTATTTATTTCTGAATAAAGAGCAGCATTGGTGAATAGTGTTACTGTACAGGCAGAGACAGATCTGCTGTGTGCCCAGCTCCTGCAGGCTCATTGCGCAGAGACGTGTCTATGTGTCAGTCAAACAAAGCCTTTCCCTTTGTGGGGACTTCAGGGATCTCTAGGCAGTGGTCTCTGCACGCATGTGGAGACCGACCCCAAGATCATTAAGTCAACAGAAGTCTTCCTATTAATTCCAGTTAGTGTTGGATCAGATTCTTGTTGTGCATAGTAAATTAATTAAACAAGTTAGCAACTGCATGTACTGCAGGTGGGCAGGCATCAAGCATGCTTAATGTGATATTCTGCTGCCTCTCAAGTGCAGGGTGGAGCACTGTCAGCCAGATTTAGCCTCCTCAGGAGAGCACCCAGGGAGACGTTCAGGGTTTCTATGGACTGACAACCACAGAACCATTTTTTTGCCATGTTGCAGCCCCAAATTTCTAGCTTGTGGCACTGAAGTAATTTTCAAAGTATGGTTTAGCTTATTTTAAGTGCATTTTACACACGGGTAAACTCAGGCAAGGCAAAGGACAAGTGGCAGATGGTCAGTGACAGAGCCAGGAATGGAATGGAGAAGCCTGTCCCAGGACATGGTTTTAACAGACTTTGTCCCAGGATTGTGAGATTTGACTAATAACTCATAAGGCTTCAGCAGTGCTAAAAAAAAAAAAAAAAAAAAAAAAAGCAGTTATTACTATTCACAGTAGTTCAATTTGGGGCTTGATCTGTTCACTTTCTTAGCAGTTTTATTCCTTTTGAACTCTGTTGGCTGTGCTATGTGCGCTGCTCATTTATGTCTACAGGAGGGAAGAATGAGGCTCCAAAAGAACCCAACAGAACATCTTTCAGAGACATGACCTATCTGTAACCTTGGTAAAAATAACTGTAAAAATAATGATAATGGATAATTATAAACCATGTAACTGGCAAAACAACACTCTGCATTTCAGTGGATGAATTGCCTTACCCTGTCCAGTAACCCACTTTACGGTGCTGTAATGGATCTACATCCGGAAGGTTATGCGATGAAATGGAGCCTTTGGCAAGCTGGAATCATGCTGAAAATGTTGAAACATCTTCATGGGGTTTTTGATATATGCATATTTGAAAATCTGGAACTTATCCCTTTTGACATAAAGAGACTGTCTCTGCTTGGAAAGCTTCTAGGACAGATTATGAAATAATAAAGTATTTAAATATTATGAGGCAGCAGTTCAACAGTGCAGTTACCCCTCCTCTTACTGCTGCAAGTATAGTATTTCTGAAAAGCTTTTTGCACTCCAGGGAAACTACTGATTATAAATTATAAAAGAGGCAATAAAAAAAAAAAAAAAAAAAAAAAAAGAAAAGGAGGTTTCAGACCCTTCTGTAGATAAGCAACTTACTGAAGCAGCTAAAAATACGGGGAGATGAAGCGAGCACAGGTCCTGATCCAAAGGCCACTCAACTCAGGAGCAGCACTTCAGGGGGGTTCATTAGGTGTGTCATGTATGTCATGAATTACAATTCACAAAATGCAGATAAAGAATGTTATTGTATATGAGTAAGGATAAAGTCTAATTGCAGAGTGTAGGCATTCCACTTGGATAAAATGAGCAGATTTTTCTCCAGCAGGTAGTCTTTCTCAGCAAGGATTTATTGCCAATGTTTACGTGAGAGTTTGTAGTCCCAAAAGCACAGAAATGCTGGGAAACAAAAAGGAAAGAAAATGTATGCAAAGAGGAGACCCAAATGTTTCCAAGTCATTTCTATAAATAAAAATCTGATGCAAACTCATCATTTCACTTTTCAGTGCTGATTTGCTTCCTCAGGATTTCAGAGTGTGCGTCTGAGAATTTAGACTGTGCATCATAAAGTTTCCCTCAACAAATGCTAAAACTATTCACAAGGCATTGGAGCAACTATCAAATATCAAATGATAACAGACCCAGTGGATGGCAGTTGGTATTAATCGGTGAGAAAACAGTTAACACTGTGCTTTGCTGTGTTGCTGCGGGTAGGGGTATCAAGCAAGTGATGCCATACCTCTTCTTCTGTTGTTAGCGGGCAAATAAATGTGTACAGCTGGAGCATATTTCTGGAATGGCTCTTCCTGTAGAGACTTGAAGCTCCGAAATAAATATTTGCAGCAGATTTTTTGAGAATGGGAAAGCAGAAGAGTTGCTTGAGGATGATCCAAGTCCTAATGCATCTACCAAAAACAACCTGTTGCTTGTTCAGTGCTAACCCGTCTTAAGTATTGCTCTCATCAGTAAGGCAAGATAACAAAAGCTTCTCTTTGTGGAGTAATATCAGGAAGGAAATTATGCATGCAGATTCACCAGCAAAAATAGCAGTCTCAGGCTGTAAGTGTACACACTGATACCGCTGTTTTGTTGCTATTTTCAGCAGCCTTTGTACCCCCAGGGGTGAGAGTAAGGACCTCACTGCTATCGCTGCTGTTCATG